AGGTTGAGAAGGGACAGTGTTGACATGTCGTGGGGTTGTTAACCATTGTCATAAAACAATATGTGTACTAACTGTTTAATGAGAAACTATTTGTTCTATAAACCATCTAAAGTACAAAAAATAAAATAAAATAAATAAAAAATAAAAATTCATTGTGAATACAATCTTCAGGTATTATCACAGCAACACTTTATACATCATTATCACTGTTACACAGTAGCACATACTTACTTGTTCCTCAGCTACAAGCAAAGGATGTGTAGATTCTTCACCTACTGATGGCAGGCGTGCACTTCCTACTGAAGGATGTCTGCTTGAAGGATGAGATGAACCATCTCCAAACGAGGGATATCGAGGATATCCATTAGGTAAGTTCTGAGCAGCAAACCCTGGAGCTAAGAAGTTTTTGTTTATACGTTTAAGGAGAAAGGCAGGATATGGGGGTAGGAGAGAGAACAAGAATCAAATCTGCACTGAGAGAATTAAGGAAGGTGTTTTCAGAAAGACAGCAGAAATTGGGCACAAATAGCCCCTACTCCCTTTTCCCATTCATATCTTAGATAATATTGAGCATTTACTGTTTTCATATTTAAGTTATTAAAAATATTTAGTTACAGCTAACAGTTTTTTTAAATTGACAACCATTACACTTATGTTAGCCAACAGTGATTGCTGGTGTGCTATTCAAAATATGACAATGAAAACGGGCACTTACTTGTAGGTGTTCGAGGTGTTCTGGGGACTTCCAATTCCGTCTGATGATTATTCCTTTCTACAACTGGCTCTTCCACCACGTTTATACTATTATTTTGCATAATCTCTTGCAACATGTTAAATAATTCTTCTGCACGAGCACACTTAAAGGCAAAGATTCCTATAAATATAAACAAGAAGGGGAAAATGGTTACTAAGCCTTCAAAAAAGCAAGAGGCACTTGTCAAAGAATAAACTGCCAAGAAAGCGTTCTGTGCACCAATAGCAAGCCAAAGGGCTTTTTAATAGATACCTGATAAATTAATGATATCCCGGTTTCAAAACATAAAACCCAAAAGAAAGTTCAAAGAATAATTTTTATTTGTCTAAGGGTCCAAAACAAAGCAGACAAAAACAAGGTTGCACACTTACTCTACTCTCCTTTTTAATAGCGGGGGGAGACCAATTCGCCATTATCAAGGTGAGCATTTACCATTTGACAGGCCTCTTATTGGCGCCCTGGTAGTGCAGTGATGAAAGCACTCAGCTACTAACCAAAAGGTCAGCAGTTTGAATCCACCAGCCAGCCCCTGGAAACCCTATGGGGCAGTTCTACTCTGTCTTATAGGGTCGCTATGAGAGGGAATCGACTCTACAGCAACTGGTTTGGGCTTTTTTTTTTGTTTAGGCCCCTTATTAGGTGTTTTACAATGGCTGTTTTGCTTAATTATAACAATTCTGTAAGATACGTATTACCATTCTACTTCTATACAGAAAAATCTGAAGCCCAGCAGAGGTCACGTAATTTGCCCAAGGTCACTCAGGTAGTAGGTAGCAAAGAATTAAACTAGGTTTGTTTGATGCCAGTGTTTAGGTTCTTTCCCCAACATCAAGTTGTAGTGATAAACACATAGAGTTAATTTACCAGGATTACTCATTTACTAAAAGTTGATATACATCAAAATTCTTGACACAGAAAATATGCTTAATAAATGTTTGTTAAATGAATAGTTAACTATATTTATATTTTTTAACAATACACTTATTTGGAGAATTTTTTTTCTTTTAGGAGAAAATAAAAATGTTAAACATTGTTTATAGAATAAGCAAAAGAACAGTACTTTAAATATGAGAATGCTTGGAGAAAAAAATAAAGGCTCTACCTACCTTGTCCAGTTTGACACCTTCGACCACTTTCAAAAGAAAAGAGATTTGAATCATAGCCATAGCGTCGCAGGCAGAGGTAGTGCCATTTTACCGAGTCACGTTTGCGGGTGTATAGAATCAGTTCTGTGTCTGTAAGTTCCATTATGCCAGAACCTAACTCATTCCCATCATCATCCACATTAATAACCTAATAAAGAAGGTTTAATTAGTGCTAATTCTTCAACTTAATAGTCATATCAATATTTCACCAATTCATCAGGAAAATGCATTGCTGCTGACTGGTTCAGTTATTCACTCATTTGTTAGTTCATTCACCAAAGTGCATGTAATGCATGCACTATGTAGCAATGTATTATCTGGTTCATACATGCAAGGAATTTACATTCCCACTGGGGAGTCAAGATATACAAACACAAAAAAAATCAACAGCACAAAACTGTATATGATTAATTGACAAATGAGTGTAATAGAGACTGCAAAGAACTGTAGTTTAAAGTTATTAAAGAAGCCTTCATATAAGAAAGACTTCAGCTGGGCCTCAGGTAGAGTTAAATTTAGATAGGAAGTAAGAGAGGAAAGCTGATGGGTAAGGAGTTATAGGACACACCATGAAGATAAAAGCTAAAGCAGAAACAAAGAAAGTATGCTTCAAAGAAACCCAAATAAGATTGGCACTGAGTTCATATAAGGGTTGGATTTTGTACTGCAGAGCTTCAGAAAATGTCTAAAGACTAAGAATAACAGATAACATTTGTGGTGAACTGAGTGAAGTGCTTTAAATGTATTTTTCTCACTTAATCCCTACAACAATCTAGACTGCAGGTAACACTATTCTCTCCATCATACAAAAATGGAATTTGTGATAATGTAACTTGTCCAAGGTCACAAAACTATGAAATAAGAAGGTTGTGACTTATATTTAGGTTTGTCTGATCCAGTGGCTATAATTCCTAACAGACTGAGGTCAGACTACAAGACACACTACATAGCTGTAGATGGATAAGGAACAGAGCATTTAGTCTATAGATAGCAGAACACCACTGATGTTTTAGTGAACAGTTTAGTGAATAATGTAAGAGGAAGATTAATTTTAAGGCAACTGCAGGAAGGATTACAGGGTGACTGAAGGTAGAGTCTAGTTAAGAGATTATCCAGGCATGAAGTGATCAGGGTCTAGACTAGGAGGTAGTGACAGGACTGAAAAAACACCTTTAAAATGGCATTTTAAAGAAAGTATCAGCACAACTGTGTGGCTAATGGGATATAGAGGACCAAGGGAAAAGTCAAAGAGGATTCCACATTGTTATTAAGAAAATGTCACCAGCATTTGTTAAAACAAGAAGAGGCAGATTGGAAAAAAAGTGTAATAAAAGAACAACACATCCAAGGAGGCAGCGAGAGATACAAATCAACTCGTTTTACTGACCTTAAACTTGTTTCGATGGTTATCTGGGACAGTGTCTTTATCTGGACAGCTACAACAGCTACCCATGGCTTCTTCAGAAGACCATGTGAGCTCTACATAAAAAATTAATTCGGAAACAAATGTTAGATGTAGGATATAAAAATCATAAAACATAAAAAGACTTCAGAAATCATCTAACACATGCCCTGCACTATTCTGATGAGAAATATAAAGTCTAACAAGATACATGGCTTGTGCTAGATTTCCCACAACCAGCTGGTGAATTTTGCTCAGTGACAATGAGAATAAATTTTGTGAGGCAGACTTCACTGAAACTGTAAATTTTCAGCTTAATTTGCAAAGGTCTGCTTATTCTAAAAAGATCTAAAAAACAAAGTAATTTAAGGCCCGATATATAATTCTATTTACACAAAGTCACTCATGGAATTAACCCTTTATGGCTTATCAGGAATTTCATGCCCCTCATAAATTACCAAGTTTAGAGTGCTAGACTTCTGGCGTGGCAGGTATTTTGATTTTAGTTACTCATTGTCATATCCTTTATGTACCCTACAAGACAGGAGCTCACTGGTAAATAACAATCAAACTTGGAATAACACATTAGTAAGAGAGACAACTGAAATGCAAACACTAACATAACACACAGAATACTGCCAAAACTGATAAGAGAATGTCTACTTAATCCTTCTTTTCCACAGCAGGTTAGAGATAAGAGGTTACAGACGACATTAAGTGTTCGGAATGAACACTCAGAATGAATAAGGGAATAATTCAAAACATCATTTACAAACAAGAGAAAAAATTGGAGTGAATGTGACAACATTTGAAAAAAGGGGAGGAAAGGAAGCACAAGAAACTATTAAACATTAAAAACGTAATTCTGATTTAAATCTGTTTAAAATTCTTTAGCAGCTCTTCAATACCTTTAGGATAAAATTCAAAACTCGTCAGTATGACATATAAGGTTCTTCACATCTGGGTCCCTGCTGACAGGTCCATTCTAAACTCTCCCTTCACTGCCTCAAGCCTTACATTAATGCAGTCATACTGAACAATCTGCAGTTTCCCCAGAGCACCTCACTCTCTTACATCCTCCACATGCTGCTCCCCTTTTGCTTCTTTCCTTTCTCAAGACTCAACTCAGAGTGCAATGCCTCAAGGAAGCCTTCCCTGACTTCAGCTGACTAGTTACTATGTATCCCCCAAAGCACCTGGGTTATCCCAGTATCATACATCTATCACACTGCTTACATATTAGAAATTGTGATAGATTGTCTGTTTGCTTACCTGTCTTCCTCTCTCTATTGTGAGCTCCTTCACAGCAGGAATGGATGTTATTCATGCCTGCACTGCTAGTGCCTAACACAATATCTAGCACATAGTGGGTGCTCTAAGCTCTTCGTTAGCTGAATAAACTATACTAAACAAAGGTGAAAAATGTCTGGCAGGTATATGATGAAAAAGTATGCTGTTGTTATTAGCTGCTGTAGAGTCAGCTCCAACTCATGGCAACACCATGTACAACAGAACGAAACACGGCCTGGTTACGCGCTATCTTCACAATTGTTGGCATGCTTAAGTCCACTGTTGTGGCCACAGTGTATTCTGAGTGCCTTCCAATCCAGGGGGCTCATCTTCTAACATTATATCGGACAACATTATGTTGTGATCCACGAGGTTTTCATTGGCTAATTCTCAGAATTAAATAGCCACACCTTTCTTCCTAGTCTGTCATAGTCCGGAAGCTCCACTGACACCTGTCCACTAGGGTGACCCTGATCGTATCTGAAATATGGTGGCATAGCTTCTAACATCATAGCCAAAGCAAGCTACCACAGTATGACAAACTGACAGAGAGTAGTGGCATACTAGTGTATAAACTAGAAGAAATGATAAAATATTAAAGATAAGACTCATGATATTTTGCTCTAACTAATATTCCAGCCAAGGACAGACACAGTCTGTACCTTTGAAGAGCCATGACTCTACATGGAGAGACAGACATAAACAGGTAATTATAGTGCTGGGTGGTGCAAATGGCTAAGCAATCAACTACTAGCTGAAAGGTTTGAAACAAGGCTTAACCAGGGACTGAAGCCCTGCTGAGAATGTATATTTCTAACAAATTTCCTGCTGATAATTTGCATTTCTAACAAGTTTCTCAGAAAGTTATACATAAGAATCACCTAGGGATCTTGTTAAAATGTAGATTCTGATTCTATCTGGGGTAGAAATGCAAATTATCAACGCGGAACTTGTTAGAAATACAAATTCTCGGCAGGGGTTTGAACCAGGACAACCCAGTTCAAAGCCCTGGTTTGAACCCACCCAGAGGCACCTTGAAAGACAGGCCTGGCAATCTACTTCCAAAAGGTCACCGTCTTGAAAACCCTATGGGGCAGTTCTACTTCGCACACATGGGGTCGTCATGAGTTAGAACTGACTCAACAGCAACTAACAACAACAACAAATGATAAACCTTACATTATAAATATGAGCAGCGTACCATGTTCACAGAGAATGGAGCAACTAACTTTCAGTTAGTTTAGTATACTTCATTCAGTCTTAGTCTCTATTTGAGCTGGGACTTCAAAGGTGATCAGAAACAGTGTGATAGGCAAAAATAGAGTCAGGCATTTGAGACAGTACGCGCAAAGGCAAAAGTCACGAAGGTTACAGTGCAATCAGAAAAACTGAGGTGTTCAGTTTGGCTGGCGCACGAGGTAGGCTGTAACAGAAGTGGGAGGCAAACTACACAGCACCTGGAACAACAGCTAGGGATTTGGGATCTGATCTTCCAACCACCTTGAAGCCAGAGAAGTTTCTTAACGGGACGAGTAAACATCTGATTTATCTTCAGGAAAAAATTATAGTGACAATATTAAAGGCATACTACAATAGAGCAAAATTATGGCAAAAGACCAGGTAAAGGCTGTTCACAAGAGAGCTAATACAGATCAGTTGTTCTTAACCTATGGTGCACATTGGACTCATATATGCAAGTTTTTAGAAAGCACAGAAGCCTAGGCTCTGGCCTCCTAAATCACAATCTCAAGGTATGAGGCTGTGTATATTAAAATGGCACCACAAGTCATTCTGTTGTGCAACAAAGGTGAGAATCGCTGACACAGCTGAAAGCTGAAGCCATTAGAGAGGATGAGATGTTTGCTCAGAGAGATCATGAATCTCCAGAATGGAATTTTAAGAAATAACATTGCAGAGGAAGATATAGAGAAAGGGTAGTTTTTCTGAAGAAGTGGTCATCCGGGTCAAATGCTTCAGCAAGGCATTTGAAAGTAAGTCAAAGGATTTGGCAATTACTAGGTAACTGGTGACACGATAGCAACTCTTTCAGTAGAGTGGTTCAGGTGGAAGTCAGACTTTTCAAAACATCTGGCAATGATGAGATGCTTACTAAGATGCCTCCAGAGCACAAAGCTTGACCAAGGTAAATGACGTCACTAAGAAGTAAACAAGAGAAAAGGCCATGTTTGGTAAAGGACATGACAAAAATAATTTTGCAACAACACTAACAATCACCAAAAAATATGTGTGTAGTTACACAAATATGTATACAGGCACATATGTATATGGGTATGAATATGTGGGTACATACGTGTGCACAGATAGATGTATCTATGGGCATATGTACGTGCAGATATGTGTGTGCATGCATGTATATTCATATATAATAAACCACATACGGGACACAGTTAGAGATAACTTTTTAGAGATAACCAAACACCTCACAAAATTGGTTTTCTGGGATGGAAGGCTTAGTACCTAGTCTCGTGGGACAATTCAGCTAATTGGCATAGTACAATTCATAAAGTATATGTTCTATCCCAATGTAGTGAGTAGTGTCTGGGGTCTTAAAAGCTTGCGAGCCATCTAAGATACAACTAATGTCTCTACTTGTCCGGAGCAAAAGAGAAAGAAGGAAACCAAAGAGTCAGACAAGAAAGTAGTCTATAGGACTAAACAATCTTACTCAAACCACAGCGTCATCCACTGTGACCAGAAGAACTAGATGGTGCCAGCTACAGCTACCAAACATTCTGATCAGGACCACAATAAAGGATCCTGACAGAATGGGAGAAAAATGGGTGGAACAGAACTCAAATTTTTAAAAAGTCCAGACTTACTGGACCAGCTGAGACTAGAGGACTCCCCAAGACCATCACCCTGAGATATCCTTTAAAACCTTAAGCTGAAACTATCCCTTGAGGTCACCATCTAGCTAAATAACAGACTGGCTCGTAAAATAAAGAATATCACCTGTGAGTACTGAGCTCCTTTAAAAAATAATTTATATGAGATCAAATGGTCAGAAATTACTCTAAAGCAAAGATGAGAAGGTAAGGGGCTAGGGAAACTAGGGTATTGGAAATGGCAGAACCAGAATGGAATGAGAATGATAACACATTGTGAAAAATGTAACCAATATCACTGAATAATTTGTGTCAAAATTACTGTTAAATGGGGACCTAATTTTCACCTTAAATACAATATTATTTTAAAAAAAAAAAAAAAAAAGATGCCTCCAGTGTTCCCACAGTAGAATCGACATAACTCTGTCACGGCATTTATCATACTCCATTTTAACGTCAAGGCACTGATGGCACAATGGTTAAGCACTCGGCAGGCTAACCAAAAGGTCAGCGGTTTGAACCCACCCAGTGGCTGCAAGGGAGAAAAGACCTGATAACCTGCTCCTGTAAAGATTACAGCCTAGGAAATCCTATGGGGCAGTTCTACTCTGTTGTATAGGGTCACTATGAGTTGGAATCAACTCAACATCACACAACAACAAAACACTGTAATGTTTATCTGTTGGCATCACTGACTTCACTGTGATCTCCCTGAAGACAGGGACTCTGTCTTCTCCAATTTTCAGGGCACTAAGGATACTGCTTGAAATAGCACATGCTCCATAAATGTTTAATAAATGGATGATTTATAAGAGGAGAAGTAGGAGGCAAAAGAATAAATATCAAACATTTAAAAAAAAAAAAAAGCAAAGGGATAACTGACAGAAACATTAAAAAAAAAAAAGTCTTCTTGAAATTGCATATCCATCCTCTCCCAAACCTGCTCATGAACGTAAAAGAGCTAAAAGATTACCGTGGTGTGGCTTGTGCCTCAAAAGATGGTGCCTCAAAGGATTGTTCTTAAACGGTTTCTCAAAAAGAGGAGAGAAATCATTCTTTCACTCACCACCTTCACTGGCTATCTGTTAAGGTAGAATCCCCCATGTTGGCAGGGATAGGATGGTGCTGCAACCTAACTGGGGACTCTAAGATCCATACTGAGTGTCTCAGATCAATTTCAAAATACTTAATGAAAAACCTAACATGCAACACAAATGCCTTGTATGCCATGCCAAGGAGAATGGATTTCATCCTATACTTGACAGAAAGCCACTGAAGTATTTTAAGCAGGAAAGTGACACGGTCAGAATTGCATTTTAAATACACCAGTGTGCAGGACAATTTAAGGGAGGGAAGGATTAGCTCAGATGAAAGGAAACTAGTTAGGGATATTGAAAAATGAAATATGATAAAAATGGTTAAGTGCTCGGTTGCTCACCAAAAGGTTGGCAGTTTGAATCCACCAGCCACTCCATGGGAGAAAATGCCTGGTGATCTCTCCCGTAAAGATTTCAGCCTAGGAAACCCTATGGGGCAGCTCTACTCTGTCCTATAGGGTTGCTATGAGTCAGAATTGACTCAACGGAACACAACAACAAATAGTAGGGATAAAGAAGAAAGGACGAATTAAGAAATATTTAGGAGGAAAAGTCAGGCACTGGCTGGCTACGTATGCAGCAAGGAAGAGGCAGGTTTCTAGACTGGCAGATGAAGGGTGCTGTTTCCATTACCTGAGATAGGAAAAACCCATAGTCTTCAAGTGGAGGTGATGGTGATTAGTTCAGTTTTTGATATGTTAAATTGAGATTCCAGAGAACCACCAAGTGGAGATATGCAATAGACAATTAAGTAGACAAGTATGGGTTTGAGGAAGGAGGTAAAATAGCAGAACACAGGTAGTATTTGATACTATAAAATACGAGATATTGTTCAAGGATAGTATGAAGAGTGGTCTGTGGTTGAAACTCTGGGAAATACAATGTGTTTAGGTATGGGAATAGAGAGAAGCCAGTGAAGAATAAAAACTAAAAATCAGAATAGAAGTAGAAGAGAATAATACAAACTAAGAAAAAACAGCATCAAGAAAGGAGCATACCATCCACAGTGAGTGGTAGAGACAGAAGTAGAACTGCCCTAAGCGAACAGAAGATGAGGAAGTAGCTCCCAGAGAATGGAAACTGCTCTTTTGAGAAGCTGGCTAAGGAAAGAAAGAGTAGAGTGCTAGGATGTGAACAGACATAGGTTTGAAAGAGAATACATAGTTTATTTTATTGTTTTTAGATGACATTGATTTATGCAGGTTTGTAATCAGTAGGTTGGAAGAGGTTAAAAATAATAGGGAAAAATAAAGGAAAGAGAAGGCTAACTGATGGGTCAAGATGGAAGTGGAGACTAGAGAAGATGAATTCCAGGGCCCAGACTGAGAGGTTTGCCCAGAGGAGGAGGAGGAACACCTTGGTTCTCTGATGAGAGGGAAGAAAATTACAATGGTGGAGTGTAGTAGAGAAGCTGAAGTAGATAACATCTATCATCCTAAACTTCCTTTGTGAAATAGATAGAAGACAAGGTTTGCAGCATGAGGGGCTTGAGGAGAATGGCAGTATTATTCACTGAGGAACTACACCCAAGAAAGGTAGCAGGATTGTTAGGTAGGCTACAGAGTAAAGTTATGCTGTTTTGCCAGCTGTGCTCAGCAGCCCAAAGGACAGACAGTTGAACTGACCCAAGGTCAGAGGGTAAGAGGGCAAGGAAATTAAAGGATGTTAATGATACCAGGATTTAAAGTGATGGATCATAAGGTTAGGAAAGAAGTAAAGAAAAAAGAGGGCTGACAGAATAAGAGAAAAAGAGGCAAAAAGGAACAGAAGCCTTTGTTAAGGTTAGAGAATAGGCTTAGTGTAAGTGAGGGATTGAAACAGCTGGAACGATGGGCAGTTGTGGTCAATCTTCCAACTCGTGGAGGGAAACTTTTGTTAATGTGGAGTTTTCATCCTACATCTCTGACTCCTCCTCCTGAACCAAACTCCTAGGCAAGGGGAAAGGTGATACTAGATATTTTGCATTTCTGACCACCAGAATATTTCAGGACCACATCTGAGTTATGTGAGAAATAACAATATGCATTAACACCGTAAACACTTATGATAAAACCTTAAGATGGTACTCAGCATACACTCCTCCAAGTTTATAACTCAGCAAAGCACAAATAGTCTTATTATGCTCCCTCAAGAGGGCAACATACAAAAGTACCCAGGGCACATTCAAGAACAAAAGGTAGCTTCTGTGTGGGAAGATCAGTATTCCAACAAGTTTGCTTAATATTTTAAATTAATAAATACTGCCTTTGTTTAATTAAAGTAATTTGCCCTTATTCTTTGGGGAGCAGGACAAGTCAGTGATCAAAATGACTGCATTTAAGAAAACATTATTAAATTCTCTAGTATAAAAAAAAATACTTTGTGGACTTACTGATTTTTTTTCCTTAAAGGTAAAGTTCAACTCACCTAGATCTGGCCATTAATATTCTTAGCCTCTGCTGCAGCATCAGGAGTTTAATCATACTTCAAAATACCATGTCTTATTTACTTGCTGACTTAACCTAGAAAGAGTAGAGAAAAAGTCAGCAACTTCTCATTTCTCTTAAAATAGTTCCTTATATATGTCTAGCAGCAAAAGTCCAAAACATGATTTAACATTATTTACTATAAGAAGATATACTTTTAAAATTAACATGACAAGTACATGTTACCATTAACATGGCCTTTTGGAAAGAAAAAATAAAAATGCAATAGTCTAAGTTCCATAATGCTTGGATATCAGGACCTCTAGAAGCCACTGATTCTGGCTTCTCCACTACTGCTGTGACACTGGACAACTCACCTCTCTATATTATCTCCTCAGCTGTAAAATGAGGGGTTAGATTAAACCCCTCCAAGTGGTTTCCAGCTCTAATACTCCATTTTAACCAGTAGCAGGCTAATTCCCCATCCCTAGTCACCTTTCCTAAACCTCACTGTCAGTCCTCTCTAAGAGCTGACTATCTTCAGAATCCACCCTCTGTATCTTCCTATTCCATGAGACCCCCCCAGAAGCCATTCAGAGCAGTCAATCAGAAAACAGGTGGTTATGGACAAGAATGTCACCGAGCCACAGGATAGCGATAAACTACACTCTGGAGTTAGAAGAGTTAGAAGAGTTACAAGAGATTGTGATATATTTTTTTAAAATTTCCAGTCAATTAACTCACTCTCTACAACACAGAAAAAATCAGAATCACTCAGATACGGGCACTAACATTTACATACTGAATATCTACACTATATCAGGCATTATGTTAGGGGTTTTGTGAAATCTCATTTTAATCTACATATTAACCAGAGTTAATAAATATGATATTCAAAATGAGCATTTCCAAAACCAGGTACCCCACACACAATCACAAGTTTCAACCCTGGACTTCAAATATCCTATATATAAAATCATATTGTCAGCAGGTATTTGCTTATGCCCCTCATAAACTGCCTCTCTGCCCCTCAGTGCCTCTTCCTTACCAACCCTTTCTTTTCTCCAGAAGCTTAAACATACATCATGCTTTTTTCTCTGGCTTATAAAACTGCCCAGAGCTGAGCTAATTCTACCCTAAAGCTTTTACCTTATATGAATACATATTCTCTTTGTTCACCTCTCTCTTCTAAGAATATTTAGCCAATTAACTTAGGAAAATCTCTCTTCTCTTTCTTCATTCTACTTATTAAGCATCCCCAACCCAATATGACTTTAATAGTAAATAAGATAAACAGAATTGAAAGTAATCTGTCTATAAATCTATATTAAAGAAAAGTCTTACATATTGAAATGAAGTTAAACATAGTAAAGAATCAGTGTACCAACCTATAAACTTCTTGAAAATAGTAAAAAGCCCCCATTAGAATTTTTGGAAAATTTTTTTATTCTATCCCACCTTCAGACCTCCTTTTGAGAATCAATATTTATTTGGTTTGTTTTAATTATTTTTATTATAAGCAAAAGCATTGTGGCGTTTTTGCTCGATTTTACTGTTTTTCGGTGCAAATATCCAGCGTGTCAGTTGTATTAAGGATTAAAAGACTTTTTTGTTTCAATTAAAAGGATACATCCTTAAAAAAAAAAAATCTGAGTTCCAAATGACTGACATACCAAAGCACTCCTGGAACAAACACAACCCAATAATGGACTGTGAGTGTCCTATCTTTGATTTTGAAACACAGATGCCTCAGATACTCTCTCTGATTTCCTAACCACTGCTGGAACACTAAGAACTGAAAGGCAACTGGGACATAGTAAGAGGAAAGGGGTAGTTATAGCCACTAACTATATGGAGCTAAAATTTAAATTTAATATAAAATAGGTATACAACAGCATCAGTTATGATTCTATACTCAAAAAGAACACCATGATTTTAGAAGTAAAATTATCAAATAGAAAGAAATTTTCATAAAAAGAAAATTATCAAGAGGCTAAAAGTTATACTAAATACTGTCTACTACACCCAATTTTTCTAAAGCAAACTGATTTTAAAGCCCCTTCTGTATGCCAGGGATCCATTTCATTTGAATTATCCCATTTAATCCATGCGGTCACTTTATGAGGTAGATACTACCATTGTTTCTGTGTTCCAAACGTAGAAACCAGGGCTTAAAGAGGTTAGGTAGCTTTCTCATGGTCAACGGCTGATATGGGACAGAACCAGAATTAAATCAAGATCTGACTCAAAAGACTAAGCTCTTAGTAATTAATACATGTAAAAAACTTAAAAAAGCACCTACCATATAGAAAGCACTCGGTAAGTGCTATTAATAACAGTAATTCATTATAAAACAATGCTGTATGCCTTTGGCAGTCATTCAACCTTTCTGTATGTAAATTTTCTCATTTATAAGATTAAGATACTACTTCACAGAGTTACTGTGAAAACCAAATAAAATTATGAATATAAAGACATTTTAAGAAAGCAAATAGTATTTTAAAAGACAAGGCATTATTATATCAGCACAATAGGTAAAATCCTGACTTTTGCACCATAAAGAAGCCTTCTGCGCCGTAAGCGCAAAAAACCTACAATATTAAGCATCATACTCATAACAGCTGTTACATAAATAAGTTTAGTACAGCTATCCTAAATTATTCTAATATGATTCTTGCAGAATGATAAGCAAAGAGAACACTGAACTCTATTCACAAGTGTGATTATAAATTTGGTGCTTAGGAAGGTATATTTGCTCGTTCGTCCACTAGCACTGAGGGTGAATTTGGTTTATCCTACAGTAGTTCTGTTCAAATACAGACCAGACAGAGTATCTATAGTAAGAAGCATAGCAACACAACTCTAACTGCCATACTTATTTATATTAAAAAAAATGAGAATGATATTCAAAAACCTTGTTCTTTGTGTGAGCGGTCTACCTGGTAGTTTTTAAACTATTGGGTAGGACTTTTTTTAAATTTATATGTTTATTCTTAACACCGATATGCAATTTTTTATTATTATTTATATGGGGGGGGGGAGTGAAGGAGAGGAGATTCCCAGTACATTCTGCTAGTCACCTAACCCAGAGCCATTCTGAGAAAAGCAAGAACACCAGCAATGTGGTGTCCTCGTTAGGTGAAAATTGAAAGTGTACACATACACACAAAACCACAAAGGCATGTAAGCATTTTTAAACACCTATTCCTTGAATCTGACTTTATCTACATATACCTAAGCAGATTTTTCTCCCTTTAGGTTTTTTTTTTTTAAATTCTGTTAAGGGCAATGCTGAAGAACCATTTTGCAATTCACAGCCCTAAAAAAATCTCAATTACATTACTTATAAATCACTCCAATATTTGGTGCTTTATGTTCTGGGAATTCTTTACATGTAATCTAAATTCCTCATACTATAATTTAAACCAGATTCCTCTCATTTATGTTTTGTCTGTAAGAGACAAGTAAAACCAGGATGATCAAGAAAGATTAAGCAAATGATTTTATAAATACATATGTATATAAACTGCTATTAATTCATTTTCCTACAGATAAATATGAAACATTTAATAAAGTGACATTTCTTTATTTCAGATATAGTTGCTTGAATTAAGCTAACAAAAGGTTACTTAGTGGATAACAATGATTTGTAAATAGCTATCAATGTTAAGGAGAGAACAAAAAAATGAGTTCATTCATTTTTCCACCCATCCACTGAAACATTCAACAAGTACTTTCTGAGCACCTGTTATCTACCAGGAACTAAGTTAAATGCTAGAAATAAAGATGAAAGGCACATTCCTGAATTCCAAGGATGAATACACAGCAGAGTTGTAGACCCTATACCATTTTACTCAGACAAGAAGGGAAGACAGAAGTGTCCAAGAAGGCTTCCTAGGAAAGGTAACTCCTAAGTTGGCTGGAGGAAAGGCAATCCAGACCAAGAAGAGTACATGTGAAAGTACAGAAGCCTAAAAGAAAATGGTCTAGTCCAGGAGCAGCAAGTAGTTCCTTTTGGTTGGAATGTGAGGTGCACAGGGGAAAATACTAGGAGATAAGGGGGGAAGGTCATTTTGTGAAAAACCAGTTTGCACTACTGAGGGCAGGTCACATTTTCCCTTACAATCTTAAAGACATCACTGACACCACAAGGTCCTACCTACTTTTCTATAGAGGCAGAATATCTAGATCACATAGAAGGAGAATTTAACTTCAAATTAGTAAGAATAAAACTAATGGTGTTTCACAATACAGGGGAAGTCAGCACAACTGGACTAAACCAAAAGCTAACAAGTTTCCTGAAGACAACCAAACACTTTGAGGGATAGAGTAGCAGAAGCAAGGGTCTGGGGACCATGGTTTCAGGGGACATCTAGGTCAATTGACATAACACAGTTTATTAAGAAAATGTTCTACATTCCACTTTGGTGAGTGGTGTCTGGGGTCTTATAAGCTAGCAAGCGGCCATCAGCATAACATAGTTCATAAAGAAAATGTTCTATAGTCTACTTTGGTGAGTAGCGTCTGGGGTCTTAAAAGCTTGCAAGAGATCATCTAAAATACAATACATCTATTGGTCCCACCACGTTCAGAGCAAAGGAGAATTAAGAAAACCAAAGATACAAAGAAAATATCTGTCCAAAGGACTAATGGACCACATGAACCACAGCCTCCACCAGCCTGAGCCCAGAAGAACTATATGGTGCCCGGCTATCACCACCAACCACTCTGACAGGGATCACAATAGAGGGTTCCAGACAGAGCAGGAGAAAAATGTAAAACAAACTTCAAATTCACAAAAAAAGACCAGACTTATTGCTCTGACAGATTGGAGGAACTCCGGAGACTACGGCCCCCGGACACACTGCTAACTCAGAACTGAAGCTACTCCTAAAGTCCAGCTTTCAGCAAAAGATTAGACAGGCCTATAAAACAAACAATAACACAGGTGAAGAATGTATACAATTAAGTATATGTATACAATCAAGTATATGAGACCAAATGGGCAACATCTGTCCAAAAGCAAAGACGAGAAGGCAGGAAGAGATAGGAAACCTCGACAAACGGACACGGGGAACTCAGGGTGCAAAGGAAAA